ATTGACAAAACTAATATTTAGCAAGGTCGTGGGTCACCTCCTGGGGATCAGGTCGACGATTTTACCCCGTTTTTATATGAATTTACTCCCGAAACCAGCGAAACACATCCTCACGGTACGGCGTCAAAAAATTTATGCGTCCCCCCTTTGATTTCAACATGGCGTCGCCAAGATGCGCAGAGCAGTTGCGCGTGGGAAACAAGAGCCTCCTCACCCCGCCATTAAATCATCATTGATTGCATGGAAATATTAGGAATAAAAGGAAAAATAAATGGAAAAAAAGTTTACTGAAGGGTAAGGTCACCTCCTGCGGCTCCCCTGGCCACCTTCTTCATGTTTTTTTCAGATTTTTCGTTCCAAGACCATCAACGAACGCCAAAAAATAATAATTACTAATTTCGCGAATTAAATTGACAAAACTAATATCCGATGAGGTCGCAGGCCACCTCCTGGGGTTCAGGTCGACAATTTTACTCCGCTTTGATATTAATTTTTCCCCGAAAATAGCGAAACACATCCGGACAGTTCGGCGCCGAAAAATTTATGCGTCCCCCCCTCTGATTTCAACATGGCGTCGCTAAAATGCGCGGAGCAATTGCGCGTGGAAAACAAAGGACTCCCCAGCCCGCCAACAAATTATCGTTGATTGCATGAAAATAATAGGAATACAAGGAGAAATGAATAAAATAAAAGTTTACTGAGGGGTGAGGTGACCTCCTGGTGCTACCCTGGACACCTTCTTCATGTTTTTTCAGAATTTTTCATCCAAGACCCTCAACGAACGCCAAAAAATAATAATTACCCATTCCGCGAATTAAATTGACAAAACTAATACTCGGCGAGGTCGTGGCTCACGTCCTGGGACTCAAGTCGACAATTTTACTGCGTTTTGATATTAATTTACCCCCGAAACGAGCGAAGCACATCCGCACGATGCAGCGTCGAAAAATTTATGCACCCTCTCATTATTCTCGACATGGCGTCGCCAAAATGCGCGGAGCAGTTGCGCAGTGAGCAGAATGATCGCGACTCCGCGTCGGAAAAAAATTGACAATTACCCATTTAACAAGCAAAAATACCCAATAAACCTTTAATGAGGTATCGCGGCACCTCCTGGGGCTCCCGTCGACCGCTTCCTCGGGGTTTTTAACGATAATTTAACGTTAGAATTCACGGAAAAATAACGGAACGCGCAGGAATGAACAAGTCTCACACGGAACACAATAAAAAATGGCGACCTGCGCTGATGCACTGCGCAAGCAGGAGAAACTTGAACTAATGGCGCTGGCGCACCGGTGTCTGCGCCGTTTTGAGTGCGTACCGCCATTCCACACGTGTGATTCGAGAATAAAGTGCGATAAAGCGTTAATAATGGCAGAAATTGGTAATTTCATTATTAATTGATGTTATATAATTAAATTCCAGAAACTTAAGACCATTTTCTGGGATGTCCGGCGTTAACAAGGAGTGGAAATCGTGTGAAGGGGGTGTGTTGTGGGAGTTCGACTGTAAACACGTGCTCATTGTTAACACCGATTGGAGATATTGTTTAATTTATAGTTATTGAGAAGGGAAAAAGAAGAGAAGTGAATTCGGGGATGAATTTAGATGTTGAAGGGAGATTTTCGGTTTTGGAGGACAATCAGGGAGTGAAGGCTCTTTTGAGGTTATGGAGGGTTGATTTTTTTCATGGCAGATTCAATTAAAAGATGATTTGGTTCATTACAGACAAAAAGAAAAAGAAGAGCAAGAAGTCCCTGGGGGAGGCCCAGGTGGCTATGGACTGCAAAATGGAGCCTGCTGATGGTATTGTCAAGCTTGAATGCAAGGACTGGCCTCTGCTCTTCAAGGTTTGCCCTCATATCATTTTATTTTGAACATTTCAAGGAGGGAAAGTACTTTTTAATTGTTTCTGAAGAATGGTATGAACATTTGGATTTTTTTTTGGTGTAGAATTTTGACAAACTACTCACGAGAACCAAACATTTCACCCCCTTGACCTGTGGCTCGACGCCCCTTCACAGACCCATCGCAGAATACGTGAAGAGTGGGTGCATAAATCTTGACAAACCGTCGAACCCATCATCTCACGAGGTTGTTGCCTGGATAAAGAGAATTCTGAGAGTGGAAAAGACTGGACACTCTGGTACCCTCGATCCAAAAGTCTCTGGGTGTCTTATCGTATGTATTGATAAAGCCACGAGACTCGCCAAGTCCCAACAGTCCGCGGGAAAGGAATATATCGCGGTTTTCAAGTTGCATGAAGCTGTTGAAGACACAAAAAAGGTAACTATTTCGTCGGTATCTCTGAAACTACTGAGTTTAGACGAAAAAAACAAAGGAATTTTTTGTAGAAAATTCGATCCTCCCCAAAAAATCTCTCCGATGACTTTCGTCTACATCCACTCATTACCGAGATATTCAACCATTTGTTAAGCAAAATTATTTCCTCGTGGAAAAACCTGTTCTCCATTAATTCGTGGATTAACTCGTTGGTGGATAAATCTAGAGAAAAACGTCAAAAGAACTTTTTGTGGAGGATTTAATCCTCTTGAAAAAAGTCTAATAACTTTATAGTCTAAGTCCAGTAGTTCTTCGGGTATCCCCAACAATGCGAATGTAAATTTTGTTTTTTTGATGAAATAATCTGAAACAACGTAAATAAATTCAGATAAATCAAGCGCTGGAGAGATTACGCGGTGCGCTGTTTCAAAGGCCTCCGCTGATATCCGCGGTTAAGCGACAATTGCGTGTGAGGACGGTTTACGACAGCTGGTTCCTAGATTACGACAATGAACGTAACATGGGCATATTTAAAGTTAAATGTGAAGCTGGCTCCTACGTCAGGACAATATGCGTTCACTTAGGGTTATTCCTGGGTACTGGGTGTCAAATGCAAGAGCTAAGGAGAAATAGATCTGGGGTGCAAGACGAGGAGGACAATATGGTGACAATGCACGATATTATGGACGCCCAGTGGCTCTACGACAATCACGGCGATGAGTCCTACCTGAGAAGAGTTATCAAGCCCCTGGAGGCATTGCTCGTTAATCACAAACGAATTATCGTTAAGGACAGTGCGGTGAGTTCCCCTGATAAAATTCAATTGAATTAATCCCCTTAGGACATCATTGAAGTCGATTTCCTCGTTTTTTTCCAGGTGAATGCCATCTGTTATGGAGCCAAGATCATGTTACCTGGAGTCCTTATGTACGACGATGGTATTGAGTTGAATAAAGAGATTGTTATTGTTACCACAAAAGGCGAAGCTGTGGCTTTAGGTAATATATACCGAGATATTTACGGAAAAGATATTACAGAAATTTAAAAGTGTTTTTATAACTTCAATTTTAATTTTATTTAGCAATTGCAATGATGACATCCCCGACGATGGCGGCATGTGACCATGGTGTATGTGCGAAGATAAAGCGAGTGATAATGGAGAGAGACGCGTACCCCAGGAAATGGGGTCTCGGTCCAAAGGCCTCCGAGAAGAAGAAGATGATTCTCGATAACAAGCTGGATAAACATGGTAAACCGAATGAAAATACCCCCTCAGACTGGTTGACGAACTATCAGGATTACTCTGAAGTGCAGGTGAGGCCTTAGAACCCGAAAAATGAATTTCCCTCTGAATTCTTTCAAACTTTTTTTTTAAAATCAATTCCAGAAGAAGGAAAATGGAATCGCGGGAAAGAAAAGAACCCACGATGAGTCAGAGGCCCCCAGTGCAGTCTCCAGTACTCCAGTATCTCCCAAGAAAGAACATGAGGAAATGGACGTCGACGTGGCTTCCCCCAAGGACAAGAAGAAGGAGAAAAAAGAGAAAAAGAAGAAGAAGGAGAAAAAGGAGAAAGAGGCTGATGAGACACTTCCCACTGAGTCTGAAGACTCGGAGACCCCTAAAAAGGAGAAAAAAAAGAAGAAGAAGAAGAGCAAAGAGGCCCCGGAGTCCTCCTAATCCGCCAATTCTCTTTTTAACGCCAGGACCAGAACAGAAGATGATGAAAAAGCTCAGGAATCGAATGAATGATGTATATAAAGCTGACTGATGCCCTGACATTCGATATTTTCCCCTGAAGCACGTACGAAAATACATTCGTATCAACAATTCAGTCAACTTACCTCATTGTTTCCTCCTGAGGACGATTTAACTTTTTATATTCACTCAGATTGCAGATTTATTCCATTAAGTAATTAAAAGATGAAATTAAAAGAAATGTATCACCTGTGAGGCTATTATTTTGAATTAAAAAGCATATTCGCAGGAATTTACCAATTTTATTAAGAAATCCATGATTGATGGGGGAAATTGAATGGAAAAATGCTATGAAGACGAGCAAAAATATCGTCACTTCATCGCTTAAAAAGTACTTGTATTTCGGATAATGTGGGGGAATTTCATACATGTACAATCGGTTATTTGAAGACAACAGTGTCGAGCATTGCCCCCAGGCACTGCACGATATTTGTGGACATGAGCATATCTACTTTTTCTTCGAGGTGACGCTTTGGGTCTTGTTTTCCCACGTTCTTTATTGCGAGCTGCTCAGGGGTCATTTTTTCCTCGTCCTCGAGGGCCTGGGTTCAAAAAAAAAATTATAACAACCATTATTGAGCATAAATAGAGACAAATACCTTGTTATAATTCTTGGCAAGCTCCAGCATCTCAGCCACAGTGTTCTCGTTGAGTCTACTGTGCTCTGAGTACTCAGCCAGTGTCAGTCCATCCATCCAAGTCTTTTTGTGAAGATTTAACAACATCTTCTGTTCAAGTTCGTTTTTACGATAATTAATGCTGATGCTGTAATAATGACGATTGAGACCGTGAATGAGAGCCTGAACCGAGGGTTTCTGTAGGTGCCCCAGGTTGGAGGTCGTCTGACGCGGCTCCTGTCCCAGAACCTGAAGAAATAGCCCTGGAGGTTAATAAAAATTAACAAATTTCAAGGGGAAAAATTTAGTCTCACCATCATGTTGGGATTTATTAATCTAAATGCATCGATGACGACTTTTCCCTTGACCGACTGAATGGGATCGATGACAACAGCCACTGCACGTTCACTGAGGGCCTCGAATGACTGCTGTGTATTGATATCAACCCCAGACAACCAACAACCAAACCCTGGATGCGAGTGATACCATCCAACGACCATTTCCGGTCGTCCAGTTTGCTTCAGCATATCCAGCATTTTCGCTTGGAAAACTGGATCCACAGCTTCGACACTCACCCCCTGAATTACAAAATCCACAAAATAAATAACGCATCACTCAGACGATTGTTTTCAACTCACAGTTCCTGTCTGGGGCATGGCGAAGACATCAATCACCCGGACGGTGTAATCGTCGACGAATTCCCCCAGCATCAGTCCCATGACCTCCATGGGAACCCCAGCTCTTCCATGCTTCAGCATTTTTAACAATGCTAGAGAAGAAATGTAGACCTGCAAGCCAAAAAACAAGTAAACAAATAATTTAAATAAATAAAAATAAAAATTTAACCTCACCTGTTCAGCGGTGTCAACAACGGGAGCATCAGAAGGTGGTGGTCCCTGATTTAGACCCGTCATGCCTCCTCCTAACCGTAAAAGTCTATCCATCTTAATTAAATCTGAAAAAAATGAAATAAAATGACAAAATATTGGAAAAGATGAGGAGAATTGTTCAAATAATATCTCGAATACTACATGCACTATGGCAGGATGCTCAGAGGATATTTTAGAGGTTATCTACTGCACTGACAGCTATTTTTTTCATTAAACAAATGTTGAATCCCCAAAAACCACGATTTTATGGATTTTTGAGAGAAGCAACTTTCCACTCACCTAATTACGATAATTGGCTGGCGATAATTAATGTTTTTCCTTCGGGAATGAATGGAAACGAATCGGAGAAGCGGGTGTTCGATTCAAAGATCCTGACAACCTCAAATCTGCAGTCTCACGAACAGTTTTGGAGTGGATGTCAGAAACAATGGCGGAGACAGAAGTCAAATCTGAGAATACAGAGCAGCCAAGAGAGCTCGTCAGAGGTGTCTTGTCTCCAAAATTCACTGCTGGACCCCACGGACTAGGTATGGGATTCTTTCTCCTCCAGGAATTCAATTGTATTCATTTAAAATCCCCGAAAAACACCCCCTGACATCAACGAATGGAGTATTTCTAGGTTAGAATGAATTTCACTCATCCATTCGTTTATTTGGTTTCTCAGGTGATCCTGATGACAAATCTCTAAGGAAACTGGAAAAACAGGTGCTCATTCCCCAGAAAATACGGCAGAAAACGAGAACTGAGAAATGCGTGGACGAGGTTAGAGGTAAATAAATCAAAACTGAGGTTTACTCTTATATCAATTAATTTATCCCTGGATTGAGTAAATGGATTAATGTTTTTTACTCAAAATTATACAGCCTTTACCGAATGTGGGAAAGAGGCTGGTCTCCTAGTCTGGCTAGACTGCAGAGACGCTAACAAAAAGCTATGGGATTGTGCAGAAAAATGGTTCTACGACAAGGATTTTGTTGCCCAGTGTACAGAGGAATATCTCAACGAAAGGAGTGAATACAGAAGGACTGGAGTTGGCGTCAAGTACATGAAACGAAAGCACTCGGCGATGTTTTAATTTAATAAATTATGTTCTACTCGTAAAAAAAATTACAAGCTGAAATATTCAGTTTATGTACATAACTAAAAATATAGAAAAGTTATTCTGGAAATGTTAATGGTCATAAAAGTAGATTTATGTTGAAATTAGGACGAATCCTCGTCCTCGGAGTCCTCGTCCTCTTCGTCGAGGGGAATTGCATCGCAGGTTTCATTAGGATTCCATCGTCTCATCAGGAGTTCACGAACTGTGAACTCTGATAATGCCTCCAGAGGAACTGGACTGCTGTTCCTGGGGACTGTCGAGGGCCAGAGCACCTGGACGATTAATAATTCCTGTGGAAAACAAGAGTAAAACACATAAACAGGATAAAAATATTTAAAGATGTTGTAAATATGTTTTCGTATCATCAACGGATGAGAAAATACCTTAGCGACACTCTGAGCCAGCCGATTCAAACAATGAATATTCATCCAGGAGGTGTCCCTCTTAGTCTGGGTGTCGTCCCTCAGGAGATTGTCACCGTCCACCACCTCCACAAAAATGACGTACGACGCGTGATAGAACTGCGGGCCTTTCTTATACAGCACTAAAACAATAATTAAAATAACATAAATACAAAAATTGAAGAAATATTTGAGAGAAGGTCGAATGATCTCACCGAAATCGCCAGCACACTTGAGTCCAGGTTTCACGACCCAGCCCTTACTTCTAAAATAATGATAAACGACGTATTTACTAAAGAACCCCTCATCCTGCTCGTTAAAATGCCTCCAGGCCTCGATAATACTGAAGATCTGTCCATCATAATTGACCACTTGTAGACACCCCAGTCCATACATCAGGAAAAACGTCTCCTCGAAGGTCAATTGAAGAGTTTCGGAGACTGGAAAGCCTTCGGTCTCGATTCTGGGTTTAATGTTTTTGAGGTAATCCTCAGTGTCTTCGTCGCTATCAGGTAGCACCAGTATCTCGTTAGGATTCACCTGGGGCTTCTCCTGAGGGAGAAGAAACTCAAGAAAATTGTCTGGCTTTGATATTTCCTCGTTCAACACACATATGTCGTCCTGGGAGTCTGTCTCTCCGGATTTGTTAGGGTCCATTATCTCAAGGACTTCCTCTTCCTCTGTGGAATCGAGAACTACTTCGTCGATTTCTCGAGAATTTTCAGTTTCTTGAGCTACTCCTGGAGTTTTAGCTGCACGAGGCGATTTTTCTTGAGTTATTTCCACTTCCTGAATTTCTTTAATTTCCAGAGGTTCAGAATGATTTTCTGATGATTTCTCCTGGGATATGGGTGCATTTTCGGGATTTGAAGAATCCAGAGTTGATATTTCATCATTTTCTTTACTTTTATCATGTTCTCCTGACAAATTTGTAATGATTGTCAAGTCCTTTGAGTTCTCTTGACCCTCAGAATTATTTTCTTCAATTTTTTCCTCAGATTCAGACGATTGCTCCCCATTTTTCTCACTCTTATGGCTTTCAACGATTCCAGAGGCTTCCTCACCCCCTTTGGATGACTCTCCACTACTTTTAGGCCCAGAATCTCCTTCTGAGGGTTCCAAAAACTCCTCAGAACCCTCAATATTCGGTTCCAGGTCCACCACTCCAGACTCTCCCCGAAATACAAAAGGTTCAGCCTGTAATTTCTTCACATCCTCCAGCCATCGCTTCCTCCTCTTCCACTGGCGTTCCCTGATCTGAGGAGGAGCTCCAAATCGACGTTTCCCGAAGGATGGAAATCCCCTGGACAACGAGCCCTTCCCGAAGAAACCCTAGAACCCCATAAACCTTGGAATCATCCAAAATCATGAATTAATATCGCAAAAAAAATGGAAAATTCGTGTTTACCATGCAGTAGACTGCGGCCATCTCCTCAGGATGAGCAATGCAAGTTCCTGAGGCACTCAGGTGAGCTGTATACATAACCCACTTGTCATCTTTGTTGAAAGGAATAGGAAAAGGCCCATGGGACCGCTGGCGCACCCGTTTTTTCCTTACTGGCTCCTTCAGATTCATGTCTACCCGTTTTCAATTACTCTGAGCCTCTAAATAAGGAGTTTATTACATTTTTCGAGGAAAAAATTAACGGTGTCACCGGTTTGTTTTGATTTCCCTCCTTCGAGCCATTCCGTTTTATTTATTTCCTCCACCACTTGTCAATTTCAGAATTTTCTAATTATTCGTTTTGATAATTAAATCAGTCATTAATCGTGATTACACGTAATTATTTAATTATTTCAATAATTCAAGAAATTTGCGGAAACGTGGGAAATAATTGCCGCACTGCGCATGTGCGGTAATGGCGGCCGGCCTGTGGACAGAGAAGACGTGTCTCGCGTTCGTTCTGAGAATTTTCGGAGAATTTCGGGTAAAATTAAAAAAGTTTTGTTTGATATCGCGGTAATTAATTCATGGGGGGGTTCAGTAATCGTTTTATCGTGGAATTGGTCATTATTTTGCTGCGTAACAAGCCCTAAAACATTGAAATCCTGAAAATTGGCCGAATTGACAAAAATATCCTCGCGCATCGGCCTGCGCATAGCTCAAGATGGCGGTCCCGAAACGACGCGTTTGGCGGTTCCTCTGTGAGTTTCCCGGTTTAATTAACGATATACTCATTAATATTTATTGACAATGCGGTTATTTGTCGTGATTTGGGTCTGGGCATAATTGGAAAATGGGGTTCATCATTATTTTGGGGAAATATGAGCATTTGATTGTCTGGAACAATGGGGACAAAGAACAAAGGAAAGGGGGGAGGGGGCTGTTTATTCTATGAATTTTGGGGAAAAATTAGCAAAGCATTGATTAACTTCACGGTAATTAGTCGATAGGCGGGTCCGGCAAACTTTTTATGATGAAATTAGCCATTGTTTTGCGATTTTGTAAGCGTTAGAGCAAAAAAATAGTCAGAAAGGCCAAGCATCTTTGCGCATCGGTCTGCGCATTAGTCAAGATGGCAGTCCCGAAACGACACGTTTGGCAATTGTTTTGTTAGTTGTCCCGTTTAATTCGGAATATACTCATCAATATTTATCGATAATGCAGTAATTAGGTATCAATTAGAGCTGGGAATAATTGAGAAAAGGAATTTATTATTATTTTTGGGGAATATAAGGCATTGACGATTTGAAATACATGAAGGAAAAAATAGATAATGAATTGAGATAAATTTTCGGAATTTTAAACAAAAATAAGATTACAACTTGAGATATTATTGCTAAAAATGATATTGGCAATGAGGAAAGACAACGAATTCATGAAAATTCGAGTGGGACGCCCATGAAAAAAAAAAGTCAATATAAAAAATAGGCGGGTAAATTTTTGTTGATCAGTTACCGACATTTTGTTCATATCGGAAGATGACGCCATCTGACTGGTCGTCAACAATTAACTTAAAACAATCAATAAATGATAATAATAAAAAAAATCGTCGATATAAATTTTGATAAATCATAATTAAATTAAATTAAAGTGGTGAAAGTGTGAAGTGTGTGAACATTGTGGACACGTTTGTAGGATTTTTGAGTTAAAATATAGTGAAGTGTGAAGGAAAATTTATTGTTGTGGACCTGGTAATGATCTCACAAGAGAGCTATCCTTGTATCTTCTGTACGCGGGAAACTTCAATTGCTGACGTACGTTCCATAAATCGGTGAGTGATCAAATCATTAAATTTTCCAGAATTTCATTTATTTTTTGAACCCACTTTTTTTTTTTTTTACTTCCGAGCCCTTCTAATACATGCCAATCTATTATCCCTGGAGTGTAAAGGACGATTAAATACTCTGAGGATAGTCAGGCCATTAAATAAATAATTTTTTTATTAATCTCGAAGTCTAATTAGAAAAAAATCAGTCTCCGTTTCTTTCTCAGAGAAATAAATGCTGGGCATCATTTTCCCTTCAATTTTCGCTTCATCAGTCTCAAAATGTCGAGATCCACTCGACATTATCCTCAGCTTCTCAACTAAATCTACAATGTACAAAAGACTAGAAACAAATAGTGTTTTTCATTTTTATTATCAGCATTTTCGTACCACCGTTCACGTGCTACATATAAAATAACATTCTTAAGACAGAATGGCAACGTGAACGATCCAGATTAACGGATGAGGTACAAAAATAATGGGTTTTAATGGGCCGGCTTTTTAAGCTTCGGCCTCTTCCAATTTCTTCATGAATGAAGCCTTCTTCTGGTTCACGCGGTTCTTGCGCTCTGAGAGGGTTAATTTAGCGCGGTTCCAGCGTTTTTTCACTGGCTCCTTCTTCCTCTCGACTACCTGGTGGTCTGGGTTGGCACGAATAGCCTCGTGAGCCTTCTTGTAGAGTCCCTCAATCTGCAAAAACATCCGCATTTATTAAAAATCAATTATCAAAAGTCTTGATGATGAAAAACGAATTGTTTTGGGGTGTCACAGCGGCCAATACAGCAGAACGCAGGGAAAAGTGCATTCAACCGTTTCGCTGAACCTTTGTAATTAATATTGTCCAACTGCGACGTTGACGGGGTACTGAACAGCCTCGTAACAATTTTAAGTTGGACGGAATTTTTTATTTGAGACACTTACAGCATCAGCAGCGATTCCATTCTTGATGTACTGTGAGAACTGACGTTTGTAGGCTTCAACGTCCTCTTCCTCGAGTGTCCTCATGTAGTTGGCGATGTGCTGGGCGAATATGTGTTGACGATGGACGTCAGCGTTGAAGGACTTGGACTCACTGTCGTATCCAGGGAATCGCTTTGTGCTGTGACAAAAAGAAAATTGAAAAATCGGAAAATTCACGGTTTATGTCTTTCGATTTTCCCGTGGGGTTCAGATAAAGTTATAATCCTTAGATGCCGGTGTGGAGTTGGTCCCAATGCGGTAGAACACACACAGAGGAATTTCTCTCCACGTGGCTCAGATGACGCGCATGTGTCCGTTTTTCATCATAAAAATTGAGAATTCCATCGAAAAAAATTATAAGGATGTCCTCGGAGTGTTTGAGTCCTTGAAAAAATTATTTAGAAGTGGAAATTGGTTTTACCTGTGGGGAATATTCAGACCTCCGTCTACAGCTCCCTTCATGGCTCCAAAAACTCGTGCACCAGTGGTGGTACGCATCAGACCAGTGTCCAGATAACACCTGAAGGCACCTGGGCCATCATCTAGCTCCTCGACATTGTATTCGTCACCGGTCACTTCAGTGGTGCCAGTATACAGTTTGTCGAGTCCCAACTTCTTCAGGAGCTGCAATCGTACAATTTTTTTTCCCGTTTTAATTTCGTTGTTTCATTGAATCAGGTTTTATAGGATTTCTTGGGTGTTCAGATTTATAATATTTAGGGAACAAATGTTTCTTCATGGCTTTTCAAAGCGAGCTGAGTGGTATCATCATTTTAAAATTGATTAATTGAAGGATTCATTGGTTGTTGAGTACGATTTCAGAATTTACTGTTCGAATCATTTATGCGGTGAACAGAAAAAATTGAATAGACTCTTCTATATAATTTGAAATCCTATAGAGAGAGCTCTTACCCTTCTCGCTAAAAGGAGTCCAGTGCAGTAGGCAGATGCATAATTGGTCAAACCAACTTTGATTCCATAGTTGGGAAGTTCGTGGCTGTAAGCAGCACAGACAATTCTGTCTCCCTCGATCCTCGAATATGCCACTTGGCAAGTGATATCCTTGTTGGACAGACGTACAATTAGCCTGTACTTGGGGGTATTGTACTTGTTCTTGTCCTGGATAGTCAGGCGTTTACGAGCGTAGTAATCGGTTTTACCCTCACGACGTCTCTTGTACTTCACTTGGAAACGCTTGAAGTACTGCTTGTTCTTCACTACTTTAACGAAACCCTAGTGACAATAATTCAACGTTATTCGTATTTGTTCCTGTCGTTCACCATTTTTCTTTAATGAATTTTTATCGTGTCAGACAAATGATAATTAGGGAACAAGAAGTTTTCTTCATGTATCATTCAAAGCGAGCTGAGTGGCTCATCATTTTAGATTGCAATGAATATTTCAATCGGCAGAATTTTCGCATAAAAAATTTTTACGTCTAATCAGTTTTATTTAGAAATTAATCAAGATGAATAAAAAATATTGTTGACTTTTTTTCAACGAAATTTTTCAATTGTCCATTCATTCTTGATGTTTCCCCATTAGTTGATGGTTTTGATATAAATATTCTAGAGTACGACAACATAACCAAAAAAAAAATCACTTGATCGATGACTTTCTCTGTTTCTTCGCGGAGATGCAAAATTTCGAAAATGAACAGTTTCAAATTTTTCAATTACTAGAAATTTAAATTAATTAACCATATGATCTTGCTTCTCAGAGGAATAAATATTGCGTGGTCTAAATATCGCGTGGGCCCATTGTCAATCCAGATTTCGAATCCCTCGATTTTCTAAACATCACTAAATTAATGGCAATATTTTTGATTGATTAATATTCTTGGATGATTGATTCGATTAAAAACTGTGTTATTTATTATTTTTTGCAGATTTTACGTACCATTTTGGCTTGATGAAGAAGCCGCCGCGGTGGGACACGTTCTTACAAGCAACCCTCGTCGAAAAAGAGAGGAATACGCCAACTTCAAAGCACGTTGGAACTTTGTCCCCCCACCGCTGTCACACTGAAGTCTCATCCTCATCAGCGACGGTGAGTACTTTAACAATTTAAAAATTCCCGCGTCTACTGTAATTCATCCATCGAAAAATTCTTTCTCTTTATTTAATACAGTTTATTCGAAATTCGTTTATGATACAAATTACAAATTCTCTCTATCAACAATTCCCAAGTCTATTCAACAAAAATGCAGCATCGAGCCTCTTATCAATAAAAAATCACCAGAATTCTGAAGAATTCCGAAACGAAGTGAAAAAACGCGACGCGATATTCCGATAAATCTCGCGATCGGTGGCTCCGACGTAGAAGCCGAAAGAAACTTTTTTCCGCAGAATTTTTCACTCTACAAAAAAGTTCCTCTGCCTCCTACGGCTAAATCCATCCCCGTGGCAGCTACACCCAAAAGAATAATCCCCAATAGAATCCATCCCTCACGTTCTCTCACTTCGCTCCAGAATCTGATTTTCCCTCAGTCATTAACATCATCGAGGCCATTCTCTCCACCCCAGTCATTGAGGTCTTCTCCCCATCCGTCATCGTCGTCGTCCTGCAAGGACGTCGCCTTAAAATCAAAGACACTCTTAACATTTTTAACCCGCTCCTCCTCAATATGAAGAATTCTCGTTTTTTCAATAACTGGCTCCATATCCGTAAAAAAATCCACCTCTTCCTTATCCTGAGTCTTCGAGTGCTTGATATCGAGCTCAGATATATCAGATATGTGAATTTTTTTGGGATAGATTGGTCGATCAACTTTGGAAATGGATTTTGACGGCTGAATTATTTCGTTTCTATTATTTTCCTCAATTCTCTCATTTCCCTGGGTATTGCAAGTCTCGTGGGTGTCCCAATCAGACCACGTGCCCTCTTCTTCGATGACAGTTGTCTCCTCAGCCTCCTCTCCACCATCTGGTGATGGTCTCTCTGGCAATTCCATGACAGGAATCTCCTCAGGGGAATTTACCTCTACTATCTCATCGACTTTCTTGACTTCTCTCTTGTTGTTTCGCATTTCTAGTCGAGTCTGGTTGTGATTTGGTCGTCCATCGGTGAATAATTTTCCCCTTTTTCCACCTATCACTGTGGCAGCACCCAGAATTGGCACTAGGTCGGCCAACGCCCTCAGGGTGACACTCACCAGCTGATCGTCGTGATCTTTTATACCGACGAGTAGCTCGGGGAGAATTTGGCGTTTTAATTCGTCCATTTGGAAGGCGTAGATATAGGAGTTTAGGTGGGAGAGGAGGAGGAGGCGAACTGAAGTATCACGAACGCAGAACATCTGCAGGAGTTGAGGGACTAAGTAGCTCTTGAAAGTTGAGACTGAGAACAGACCGGGCTCTTCCTCGGTTTTGGGTTTTAGGACGTAGGGGAGAAGTTTGCATTGAGCTGTTGGATCCAAAAGGACCAGACGGGAGAGCAGGAGACGTCCCAACTGCTCTGCCACAATTTTTTCGGGGAAGGACTGCAGCTGGGGAACTAGATTCCTGGAGAAAGAAAAACTGAAATTATTACAGGGGGCTCCCGAGAATTTAATGAGTACAGGGAAAATCGTACGAGCACTTACGAGAAAAAATGCTCCTTTTCTGGTTCAGTTTTCAATGGCAACTCCATGAGAAACGCGTGAATATTTATAAAGTCATGGGTAAAAAATGGGTGTCGTAGAAGGGAATTAAGACTTGGCCTCAGGACTGGATCAGGGTTTTGTAATTGTTGTCGGCATAGTTCTTTGAAGTCTAGGAGGGCTGGCACATCGTCTGTAAAAATGGAATGTGTTAGGAATTATTTTCTCGATTTGTGGGATGATTTTATGAGATCGAACCTGAATTCTTCAGTCTCAAAACGTCCTCGGTGAGAACACCAAATGCAAATTGGTCAATGGACACTGGATTGACCTGGGATACCATCGAGGAGACGTCCTCCTCAGGTGTGATAGCCTTCTCGTACCTGAAGTTCTTGATTTTCTTTAAATAAGCCTGATTGAAGTCTGAGAATTTGCAGAGGAACTCGAGACTTCCCAACTTCCATGAGCCCTCGGGGGTGACGTATATCGAACTGCTGGAGAGATTGTTGTGGGAGGCTAGGGCATTCTCGTGGAGAAATATCAGGGCCCGTACGATACTGTGAAGTCCTATACATATTTGCAAGGTTGTCTGGGTCCCAATTACCTGGGCCAGGGGTTTAGCTTCTTCAGTTGCTAGATAGTAGGAACTGCCCTTCTTCCAGGAGGAGATGTACTTGAGAATGCAGGGGTGACGATGGAGCATCAAATTCTGGGATAGTCAGAAATAAATAAACTCTGCTCATTATTTTCGGAGCCAGTGGTCTAACGAGGAAAATTCATTGGGCATTTTTGTTGAGAATTAAATTCCCAGTAAAAAAATCCTATTGCTATTTTTCTCTAAAACCCGTTTATCGCAGAGATATTCGCTAAAAACTTGATCTTAAATTCATCTTCTTTTGTCCATTCCTCATTACTGACATTGACAAAATGTTTTGACTTGTTTTGTCAGTGTTTACCATCTGTTCGTGATAAGAATGTTATAAAATCGTGACAAGTCCTCTTACTCACGAAGAATTCCGCAAAAATGGGGAGATTTTTTTTATTTCAATGTATATTAAATTAAGAACAAGCTATGATTTTTGAATTTTACCTTGGCTGTCCTCTCCAAGGGTGAGGGCTTGCCAAAGTTGGCAGTTGAATGGAGTGAAGGTTCACTGATGAACACCGAAAGACATTGAGAATTTCCACCACTGGTGCTTGCACTGTGGTGAAGCCAAAAATCTGTAACTTCAATAGCTTTTTCGTCTATCTCTAGCCCACTGAGGGCACTCTTCTCATTACCCATTAATTCCACTGTCAGGATTTTAAAAATTTTTAATTGACAGACCAATAAACCCCACTGGGGAACAGGCCACTGTCACCACTGTGGAATGGATTTTTTTTATTCTGCTCCCAACGCCATCTCGAATCGTCAACGACGAGAAAATACCGATGGAAAAACGCACTCCTCGGTTTATTCTCAGGTTTTTCAAGTGTTAATTAGTTTATTAATTAGTGTCAGTGATTTATCCTCCGCTCACAGGTAATTATAGACATCAGTATTTTATATTACCAATTATTCACTCAGTTCTCCGTTAACTTTGAGTGATGGACTGATGTTGCTTATCCCTAACCTCAATTTCAATGAGGAAAATAATTTTTAGAAGAATTAATTGTTGTTTTAGGGGAGGATATAATTGAGAATGGCTCGACCACTCAATTTTTTCATTCAAATCCGTAATTATAAGGGGCAGAAACCCCCAAAATTCTGGGGTAAAGATAAGAAAGTGTATGAAAAAGTCACTTATTATCCGAGGTGAGCTTCCAATTGAATCAATTCAGGTAATAAAATATGAATGAAATATATTATTTAAACCATTTATAGACATCCAGGTCAGGTAGATCCCCCGATAGCTCCGACAAAACTGCTTGTTATCCAGCGAGTGAAACCGTACGCTGGAAATCCTTACTGGCACAAAGCAATTCTCGATCAGTTACACTTGAACGAGAAGAAGAGTGACATAACAATTGTCAAGAATATACCAGAGATATGCGCCCAGTTGTGGAAGGTGAAACATCTCATCAAGGTGACACCTCTGAATCAGCCTGGTAAACTTCCAGAGGACAACGACATTCATGCCACTTGGCTCATGGAGAATGGAGATCTCTTGCTCACTCCCAGGGTTGATCCAGTCAGGGAACAGTTAACCATGGATCACGTTCGAAATCCTAAACGTCTAGATGGAGAAACCCTGTCCTTTGAGCTGAGAATGAGATGGTTGAATCCCTGGGACACATGATTTAGGAACTATTTTGGAATCGAGAGAACCGAGTGCTGATTTTTTATGTCAATTCATTGAAATCATTTATATGGATTAATGTGTATATAGCCTAAGGAGAGAACATAAAGAAACGATTGAGACAATATTGAATTGATTATTGGGATCGATATTTTATCGATCTTACCTTTAAGATTTTTATTTTTTTACTCTTTTGGAAATTCCAATATTTGGAACGTGAATTACCTGTGAAATTGCCGGGTTTTCTCCCTTATTTATTTCGTATTGCAAATTACAAGAATAGATGACGTCTCACAAGTGGTTGGCAATCAGCATCTAAAAATCTAGACTTAAATATCGATTATGGCTAGTGCAATCACTGAGTGGCTAATAGAACTGTGAAGTACGACGCTGAAGTCCGAACAATCTGGGAAAGGAATGATAAATATTCTATACAGAGGAAAAAGCATTCGTGGCAATAAGTCCGCGAAAAGTCAGACGTCTTACCAAATTAAACGTTTCCAAATTCATGATCAGGAACTTTCCAGCTGTGAGTGTGCACGGCAGCTGACTCCTCATGAGCAATAAACTCAGCATTTTCTGTGATTTTACAGAGCTGTAGTACCACTCCGCATTCCCTCTAAATAATCTCCGCAATAATGATCACAGAATAATTACAATTGATAGGATTAAGCGTATTTACATGTGCTCTTGAATACTCAGACTGTGATCCATGAGACGCTGACCCAGCAGGCACTCCATAAACAGATGTCCAAGTTGAGTAATTGTTAGGGAGCCGTACTGAACGATTTTTTCAGTCGCATCCAAGTGAACCACGGTCTTGCACGTAAATAGATCCTCATTAAGGAAAAGAAGTTACTAAAAATATCAATTATCATTACCTGCACGCCAGTTATGCTGATGATAATCATATTAAGCCCGATAACAGCGAGGAAGTTATAAATGTAGAGTCCCGCAAGCTCATTGGCAAATCTACCAAAAAATATAGCATATTACCACGATAATTACAATCACATGCAGACATACTCTGTGGCTCGATGATGAATTTGAACGCAGCGTTTCACATGGCGAATTCCTCTGCTCGAATTAGGATCGCGGTCACTCGGCAGATGCTCAATAGTGTATCTACCAATCCGCAAAGATTTATATTTTCAAAAAATCCATTAAAACATATCTACCAGAATATCAACTGTTACCCTAGGGTGGCGAACAGCCCGCATGCGTGATACGCGTAGATAAAGAATAGTAGATCGCAGGATAGGATGCCAATGACTATGAGACAAGTCGTTATCTCGGCTAATGAAAAGAGCCCCCAGTAATATTTATCAACGTCTATCGAGCCGTAGTCCACGGGCATGGGGAATAGAGGTAGAGAGGCATTTGTCTTGATGAATGTATGAATTAGACGCAATTGCAATGGTTCTGTTGCAAATACCACTGCTCCACAGAATAGCGACACTGAAGAAACAAATTCCTTCAATTTCTCCCCGAAAAAAAAGCTCGGATTTCTTAACAATCAGCGATAATCACCCAAATATATCATGGAGACTCTTCTCCCAGCGGCGGTGTATTCATGGAGTACTTGCATCTCATCCTTTGAGAAGATCGTCCAATTTTCCTTGACCTTACTCAACAGAGTTTTCATCTAGAAGATAATTTACAACTGAATGACCAATCGAAGCAAATCGAGATGAGTCTACCTTCTTGAAGTTGTAGCAATTGTTTATGATTTTTATCACTAATATTGTGTCAATCATGAATGGACCGCTAGCATCAAAGACAATCTGAGGATCGTCGCTGTGGAGTACAACAGCTCTGATCTAGAATCGTTGATTGAGTAAGAGAGGAATTCAGTTAAAGTGGATTAATTTCCGTTACCCGCGGTATCAGCTGGATAATAGTCAGTGTCAATAGAAGTCCACGGGTCAGGATAAGTTCTTTCACTGATTGATTCGGCCATTGTCCAACTATACAGGATGTTATCTTGGCTAGTCGAAAGTAATTCTGATCCCAGAAATCCATCTTGACTATCACAATACGAATGTATGAGCGGTACTCATCGCGCAGTAACGCCACGTACAAGATAACAACTTTGAGTATGAAAACAACATCTGGACTTGACAGAATTATTTTCACGTTGTGTGAAAAAAAAGTAACTTTGTATGAATAATAGAGGGTGGCTTCTGGGAAGGGAAATGGAAGGGTGAAATTCACACGCATCGCAGAGACTGCGCTATTCCGTGGGCAGAGCAACTTTTAACGGAGAGGGGAAAAATTGTTCGTCATTTCAAGCAAAAAGTGTATAGTTTTTAAATAACACCGCTGTGGAGTAAAAATCTCATGAAGTACGTGAAATTTGAGTAATTTTCTACTGTTTCTCGTTTCTTTTTTTTTATTCCTCGACACGTGAATTATGACGACCAATAAGATACGACTTTTACAATTCGGTACTTGATTACAAATAAATAAATTTCGTGGAGTTTATTGTGTAGCCATGAGTACTGTGAAGTATGAGGCTGAAGTTCGTATAATCTGCCGATAAATTAATTCAATTTGCAATTAAATATTCGGAGCAATAAACGTGCAAAGGTCTTACCATGTTAAAAGTCTCAAAGTTCATGACCAGAAATCTTCCTGCGGTTAATTGGCACGGGAGTTGACTCCTCAGGAGAAATAATTTAATCATCTTCTGGGCTTTGTCGGACATTTTGTACCATTGTGCATTTGATCTGAATTATTCATAACATTGTCTCAGAATATTTTCATTAATTTGAGATGGCAATGACGAATATATTTACATATAAACTTGAGTAGCAAGACTGTAGTCTATGAGGCGCTGGCCCATGAGACACTCCACAAAAAGATGCCCAAATGGTGAAATAGTGAGTGAACCGTATTGAACGATTTTTTCGGTTGCACCCACGCTGATTACAATCTAATAAAAAATTTATCACGCATGGAAAATGGCTTTGCTCTTCACACAATAATCTCAAAAACTAATCATGATTAAGATCTGTGAGTCTGGCAGGCTTACCTGCACACCAATTACACTGATTAGAATCATATTGAACCCAATGACACCAAAAAAGCTCCACACGTAGAGACCCTCAAGTTCTTTGGCAAATCTATCAAAAAATTGACCATTGGAACACAAGAGGCATAAGGATGCATGCTGACGTACTCAATGACACGACAATGCAATTGAATGCAACGTTTGACGTACATCTCGTCACTCCATCCATTATCATCATCAACTGGTAGATGATCGATTATGTATCTTGATCGAGAATATAATCATCATTGATCTGTACCACAAGATGAATGCAAATTCGAATAGATATGCGCAGTGATTACCCTAGTGTTGCGAATAATCCAAAGACATGATAAGAGTACATGAAAAACAGTAAATCACAAGCGACGATTCCAAGTGCAACCACTAAACCAATGAATGCTATCGATACACAAATCCACCAGTAATATTTCTCGACATTTATCGATCCGTAGTCGACTGGCGAGGGAAATCGCCGAATTGTATCATTTGTCCTCATGATTATCTCCAAAAGACCCAGTTGCAATGGCTGAGTTAGAAATAACCCAGCACTACCTAATACGCATCCTGGAAGAAATTATTTACTGAGTCTCACTTAATTTATTGGGTAATTCACAGTCAAGGCACTAACCCAGATATATTATCGACACTTTATTCCCTTCTGCAGTGTGTAAATGAAGGATCTTCAATTCGTCCTTCGATAAAATCTTCCAGTTTTCGTAAAACTTCTTGAAGAGATTCTTCATCTGAAAGGAGTGCCTCGTATCAATCCGGATCAAAGCTATCGGAAATGATGATGATGTTACCCTTTCTAGATTACACGAATTGATGATGATTTTGATTACGAATACAGCATCAATTATGAGAGGACTAGTAGCACTGAGGACAACTTCAGGATCGTCACCGTAGAGGATGACAGCTCTGATCTGGAATAGAAATCTTTATAGACATTCCCAGTAGTAGTGGTCAGTTCACACGGGCGTTACCCTGGGTATTAAAAGGAGAAGAACTAGAATGAAGATTGCTCCACGGCGGTAAATGAGCTCCTTCGAGGTTTGGAGTGGCCACTGTCCAACCAGTGATGTCGTTATCTTGGCAGCTCTGAAGTAATCCTGATCCCAGAAATCCATTTTCTATCTCTACTTCTTTTAAAATGTTTATTTACGAAAGCAAGAGAGGCACTGGTGCTATCACACCTGGCCACGTATCCCATACAATAAAAAGAACGTCTCTGTTTTCTACGCAGTCTGAACGCAACATCTGGACATGACAGAATTATTTTTCCATGGAGCAACAATATAGATCCAATGAATAATAAAATATTCACTCCATAAAACGATGTGGAGGGGTGAAAATTCACGCTGCAAAAGTCTGTAATTCATCGAAGTAAACACTTTGGAGATGTCTAGACCAATTTCTTCGTTCTTCGTGAGAAATATCAGACTTATCTGTGATATGGACGAATATATATACAGTGGTCTATTGTGAGAAACGTCTGCAGTCTCCAAAATCTACGAAAATTTCGATTCTAAAACCTGAAGGGAATATAAAATGAGGACTTCACCTATTACAATGAATATATCTTCTATTTTATGTGTGAGTACATTGATTCGTTTAAGAGCTTTCGGTCAGTTATAATGAGGTACATAATAGGAAGAAGAGGTATTCCGTGGATTCTTCATGAGAGCTGTGAAGTACGACGCTGAAACATCGTGGAGAAAAAAAATCCTCGGAGTTTGTCAATTTCAAATTAGGCTCCACACATTTGTCAAGATCGTACCATATTGAATGAAGAAGAATGAAGAGAACTATTTTAATTCCATTTGAATGGAGAAAAATTCGAATAGACGTTAACCATCATTATTACCCCAGTGTTGCGAAAAATCCAAAGGCGAGATACGGAAACATGAAAAATAATACATTGCAAGCGATGGCTTCAAGTGCGACAAGTGAACCAATCAGTCCCGTATAGAGAATTATACTCCAATAATAATTAAGATAGGGATTAATTATAACGACAGAATATCATCTCCTTCAACGATGGAAAAGACCATTGTCCGACCAACGATGCGGTTACCCTGAAATATTCCTGATCTCAGAAATCCATTATTCAGTTGTATTTCTCCTGAAATGGGTTTTTGCAGAACGATGAGATGCACTGTTGGTTCAATCCCACTTCGCCACGTGTCCCAAGGAAAAAATTAATTCTCTCTTCTTCATGAAGTCGGAAAGCAACATCTGGATATGACAAGTTTCTATTCCGTGAAGTAAAAACTTCAAGTCAGTGAATAATAAATTGCGCGTTCCATAGAGTGCAGGAAAGGGGTGAAAATTCACGCGGTAGAAGTTTTTCTTGAAGTCTAAAATTGAAGATATCGAGACAGATATCTTCGGTTTCTTCATAGAAACTGTCAAACTTTTTTAGAATAAAAAATTCTCTATTCCCTTCTGCATTGAAAGCAACACCTGGACTCTCTAAGAAGTATCTCACCGTATTTCTGTTCTGAAGTTCTGGGGGAATATTAAATGAGGGGAACTGATGAAAACACGCAATATCGATGGTGAAAAACAATGGATAAAAATGAAACATCAAAAGTTTAAAAACTTTGCAACGTACATCTGTTATTCTCCGACGATTTTCTACCCTTCTATTTCCAACCCTTTGGGCACCCTCCGATGGAAAATAGAATGCTCGTGATAAGCTACTGCCTCTGCTGAAGAGCAGAGTTTTTGGGATGGGCATTAAACAACACAGCTTTGAACAAATAGTACAATTTATTCGCTTCAAGACTAATAATCTACCAACAGTAACGCTCACTTCTCTCACATCCAATTTCCTCACTCTTTTCATCTTATCGCAATTATTTCGAATCAGCGTGGCGTAAAACATAGGTGGAAGAGTTGTTTTTTTTTTCGAGTGCCGCGTTTGATCAGTCGTGCGGACCTACATAATTTAATACCTCAACGTCGCAAATAATTACATTAATAATCATTCTGCCAAATATAACGGAGATTTATCGGCTAGTGAAAGAAGTGATCAAGTACAAACATCTACAGCAACTTGTCAGTACTGATGAAGTTTCTGAATCAATCTTTAGGCCGCTTGTTAGACCGATTTCTTCCCCCCATTTATCAATTAAATATTCTCCTTGTTTTACCGATAATTACAGAAAACACGAGCAGTGTATGAAATTCATGAGGAAAATCTATCTATGAAGTCTTCTAATTGCATTCGTGGCTCCGTACGAATAGTAATTGGCAAAAATTGGCCTATACCTATTATCTACCAAAATATCTCGATAACAAATTAAGAGCGGCATTTCGAGTATTATCAGAATTAATCTTAATATTGTTTATAACGATAACAGCCCTGAAGTGTATAATTGAAAGACCTCATCCAGCTGATTATCATCCCTGGACGTTAATTGAATTATTTTAAATTATCATTCCCGATTTAATCATTAATCTGGACATTACAACGCTGGGATTGTGCTCCGCACTCAACAGTACAACAATCTTTTGATTGTAAGCTTCACTTTCCTTCGGATGAGCTAGCTCTCCTTCGACTTCTCAGCTTCCAGAATCTTCTGTCCCTGGAAGTATGATGAATTGAGATTGTATTCTGGCCTCTTCCACGGTCTGACATGTAGATTTTCAAAAATTTTGAAGCACGCTCCTCCTGGGACTTGTCCGTCGATTTTCCACTGAGAAAGCTGAGTAGCTTCATGCTGCGTCTTCGTATTCTCAAACGATTGAGAAAAGTCGTCTCCTGCGGTCTGGCACTGACGGGCTCATCAGCGTCTTCCTCGGATACTTCATCAATCCTTTCTGATGTTCTTCGAAGAGCTTCGAAGTGCCTTCTTCTCTCGTGCTCCATATCCATCTTTCGCAGTCTTCTTCTTTCCAAGAGCCTGTAATTGGGCTCGCTTTCATCACTCGAGCTACCACTCACGGACGTCCTCATCGACGGAAAGATGATCTTACCGCCCTCTAGGAGGCTCACGCGTTTCTCTTTTTTGTCGGGTGAGACAACTTGGACGGAGTCCTCATCGACGTCTGACAGTTTTCGATGAAGATCCAGTATCTTTCTTCGGAAGTCCTCGTCCTCCTGGCTCAACTGCTCAAAGATCTTCGAGCGATCTTGACTCTCGTCGACGTCAGAGGTCGCCTGCAACCTCTGTCACCACCATCCTACTTGGTGTTTTCCACTTCCTGGTGAGTCCTCCTCCTCTGGTAGCGGCTCTAATCGCCTACGGCCCAGAAAACAACGTAGCGATGATAAACTACCACTGCCAAGTAGCTGCTCCATGGTTATCTCTGGTAAGCTGCTGTCCTCAGAATCACCGCTCTCGTCCGGATCGTCGTCTGCGTTGAGACTCAGGCCATAATTATCCTCACCGATGATGTTGCCGTTGATGGACGGCTACGGAAGTCACAGGTACAACAGGCTCGCGCTAATGATTCTTGGCAAACAGAGGGCAAGCGATTTTTGCGTCATGCAGAGGCGTGCCAAGCTTAATCTATACTAGATCATGGTTATTTTGGTGTTGGAAGGTACAGGTTGGAGTGCTCAGAGCGATACTGGCATGATTATCAAATGATTCCTTCTTATTATGAGAAATTGTGATGTCAATGACTGGCTAAAGCTAGAACAAGTGCCGAACATATACGCCTAGAAAGAGAATGTCCTTTTGAAACTTCGAAGAGGACCAGGAGGTTTCAAAATATAACAAAATTCAAAATGCAAGTTCCCCATTCAAAATGAGGATCGAACTATTGCTGAAGGTGTTGCTGTACCTTCAAACATTCAAGATCTTTCAATGCTACCTACTGGACTAGCTGTGAAGCTTTCATCGTCAGGGCCTCCAGAAGTTGGTGTACCCCATATGTCATCACCGGAAGTGCCTCCAGAAGTCGTCCCTTCCTCATCATTAGGATCCAATGAGAATTCAGTTCTTTCTGGTGGCACCGGAGGCTGCAGAAGGTATCCACCCACTCCTTCGCCCAGCTGCTCCAGAAAGACCATTTTACTGACGACAAAGCTACTTGCTCGTGCGGTCCACGATCGAAGACCAGATGGAGGTGACTCCAGGTTGTCGTCTTCGGTCTGTTCATCCACGTCATCATCCTGATCTAGACTGCTCATAGTACCGAATCGTCTCAGGGCTCTGCAGATCAAAGTCATGAGATCAGGGAACAGTTCCAAGGGTCAGGATAGAGCAATCGTGATGGTAACACCTGTAGGGAGGCTCTCCATCGCAGTCCAGGTCGTCCTCGCTACCGTCCTCCGTATTACCATCAGCTGGAGTACAGTTTGCACTATTTCTACTAGGACTATCGTGACTACTATTCTTCAGTCTGTGGGTTGTGCAGAGATCTGGGGTTGGCGGCAGCACTGATATTTTAGGCGGAATCGGTGAGAAGGGATCTCTCACGAGTGGAGGAGTTGGACATCCCGATCTGAAATTCCAGATACAAAACCGTTACGAAATGAATTCTTTCAAAAACTAAAAACACTCATGAATTAGTCGCATTGAACAGAAGCTCGAATTCAATGTTACAAAGGTCTACTCTAGCCACAACACGAAAGACTCCACCTGTGGCACCTTCGGCAGATGTTGATGGATCCACCGGATGTCTCTTTGCTGAAGATATTCCCGTTCTTCCTTGCATTAACATTGCTTGACTTGACAGTACTCAGGCTTGCACTCGAGGTCGTACTCTGCTGTTCGGGATCTGAACTCGGTGCTGTTTGCTCCTCTGTATTTTCGTGAATCTGAACATTCGTCGATGATTCACGAGGTGCACGTGCCGCCAACTCTTCGGCTGTCCATTCCTCGAGGGCAACCTCGTGGTCTGGTGGTGGGGCGTGATGGGAATTTCTAACCCACTGAGCTAAGTGATTGTTCTCGTGATTCGAGGGACTTGATTTCAGGATGCTCTCTAAGGTGTCATCAGGTTCGTGCAGCTTTTTGGATAGACTAATCTGTATTGATGAAGGAGAAATGGCAATTCAACTGTGTTACGATATTTGAAAAAAAGGCGGAAAAGCTCAATTCTCGAAATCAATGATGAAAGCGGGTAAAAAATTTGAGAAAACTATTAAATCAATGGTTCACACCTCGTGAATCTTTCCACGACAGAAAAAAAATAGTTTTAAAACGAAGACGTATTAAATCATCGCCTTAAAAACACGAGGTGAAGAAGAGTGAAACCCGCCATATTATTCATCAAGTTCTGAGCATGCGCAATCTTCACATTCGTTCTTATCGACACGTGAGAAGTGAAAAACAAAAAGCAACGGCCTTTTAATATACTCCTGAATTACCTGAGGGCTTGCTGAGGAGTCACCAGCTGTACCGTACTCGCTCCTCACAAAAGGTCCCTCCTCCGGGCTGTCTAGGTTCGGCACTCCCCCACAGCCTGTATTCACATAGATGCTAAAATGGGAAGAGCCAGAGGGAAAAATTGAAACCAAAAGACAGGCAGGGATTACACTTGGGAATGATAAATAAAATCACATCGTTACAAGGACAACTCACATCTGCCGCTGGAGCAGATTGTGCCAGACAGCTTTCTGTTCGGGACTGGGTGCTCGAAGAACGAGGACCCGTCGTCGAGCTCTCCCATGAGGACTGCAACCTCCAGACTGCACCACCTCGACGTGACCGTTCTCTCTTGCATCTGGAGTTATTGCCACCTGGAGTCTGAACTCCGTCGGTCGTTTTCTGACCGTGAAGCATGCCTCGGCGATGTTAGATAGGCGGAGGGGCTCCTCCGTAACGAAGAGAACTCGATCCCTGGATACCCTCGCGAAAACTAGAAGGTCGGTCAGAAGAAGTGCCCACGAGGGCTGAAGACGACGACCTTCGACCTTCGCCAGAGCTCCACCAAAAAGCCTTTAGGAGAATTTTGAAAAACTTCAGGGAATTATGTAAACAGCTGTTGAAAAGTTATTCTCAAGTACCCTGTGACTACCGTAAACTTCTAGAACTACTTCCTTTGACGTAACTAGAGTCGTCTACACTAAAGAACTTCAACAACTGGATCAAAAGCTAGAAGGAATACTACTTCCTGAATAAACAAGTGAAATTTGCAATTTGATGAGGAGTTAATTCAAACTGCATTTCCTTCTCTCAACAAAGGAACAAACCATTGTCTCCCGGGCTGTGCAAGTGTAAAAGGTCTGCACTTGGCGAAGACTAGTCTAGACTCAACTTCTTGGAGACTGAGAAGCGGTCGTCCTGTGTCCCTCGGTGGCTCCATTACCCCGGCATTGGCAGTGGCTTCTCGATACCCCTGAGCAAGATCCCTCGTCTTCTGACAATTCCTCGGGGAAGCAAGGCACAACAGCCTCGTCATTTCTCTAGAAACGCCCAAAATAACAGCTAGTAATTGCAGTGGATTTTTTATTTGAGTCAAGCTAAAGAATCGTGTTTCAACTTGATTCAGGCTGACTTCTTTGGATAAAGGAATCAATCCCTGAAGACTGGTGGTTCCTCACCTATAGTGCTCGAGGGGCAGCAGGAGGACCCCAGTGAGGTCAGGGCGTCGTTTGTGGGGTACTGCTGGCTCAGCCACCAGTTTCGCGAATGCTGTATTGCGGCGCAGAGCCACCAGGAGGCAACATGCCCTTTGGAGGCCGCTCAAGTATCTTCGGTAGCTGGAGGTTATTCTTGGGACTCGCGAGAGGTAGCTCTCGATGCCGCCACCCTCGTCCCGAATTTCCTCGGACAGTCTGAAGAGGTCCTCGAGGTTTTGGAAGAGAATCGCGTGGTCTGTACTTGAGAGAACATCTTTTCGCTCGGCCAGGGGAATTGAGAAGCGGGAGACTCCGGTTTTTAGGACTCCCCAGTAGCGGGTCTCACGGACCGCTAGCTCTTCCTCTGGGGAAGCGTCCGGCGACAAGTTGGGGAACATCTGGAGGTAATTTTGGGTTAGGGGAAGAGCTCTTTCGCTCATTAATCGTTTGGAGGATTTCGTTGTTATTGGCGTAATTTATGTAAAAAAGATGTATAAAATATTTTTTTATACATATTTTTCAATATTGAAATTCCTCACTATTTCGAGAATTTATTTATTCAGTCTCGCTGATGAGTTTTGTTGCGTCACGTTCTTCGGGGATTTAATCTCAAACTTCCCCAATTTTCATGTTTTTCCTGTTATAATGAACTCCGATGGAGTTTTAATGAAGCGGAGTTGAATACAAATCAAAGAGGTTTGAAATTCTGAGATGAGAGCCCTTTTCATCCTCAAAAACTCAACAAACTAGGTCAATAGATTTTTATTACTCTAACATAAAGGCTAATTATCCTTCTAGTTTCTCTCTAAAAACTTGAAAACTCTCGACTAGAAGTTTTTCTCGACTAGCTATTGTATCAACTCTCTTCTAAATTCTATAGCCCATACATAAACTAATAAATCAGGCACTTATTTTACGATTGGGAATGGGGTAATGGATAAAAAACAAAAAAAAACACTTTTTATGGGTTTTAAACAAAAGTTCTTGGCAACAAAAATAAGAACAAAGTACAAAACATAATCTCACTCTCGAATCCGATGTTTCAAATTGTTTTTTCTCAACATAAAAAAAAAGTTTCAACGTCACAATTTTCACGAGCAAGTGAAAAATCAATGAAAAAACACGGAATTGTGATTATAATTTTTAATTAATATTAATTAATAATGGTAATAAGCTCTTTCCCACGCCACGTTGTCGCCCAAGTTTCCAATGCAAGAAAGAAAAATTATCGCGTATACAACTGAAGGATTTTTATTCTCCTTTTTTGAGCACTTGATCAATAACTTAAGACGAAACGTATGGATAACACAGCGCAATTTCTCGGTGTTAATCTCCCTCGATCGATTATAATCTACGGCTTTTATTTATTTATTTACATCTGGGGTTGACGTATACAAACACATCGAGGTGACGATCAACATCGAGAACTCGGTTTAAAGTATATAAAATAAATAATAAAAACTGACGAAGCGCTCTGAGAATAAAAAAATGAAGTAGCAGACTTAAATATAAATGTAACACAGCGTTTTATCTCGCGTTTCGTGAAACATAATGAAAATTATTTTTCAAACGAAAACGGAGAAATTTCATTTCGTAGTGAATTTTCCCGGTGGAAAGGTTAATTTAAAAATAAATAATTGTGGACGAGGTGAGTTTCCAATAGTTTGGAAAATTTGGTCTAGACTAAAACTCCCGTACCGACCTCGGCGGTGAAGGTGACGTGGTGGCCGTTGGAGTATTCCATGTTGGGTTGTAAACTGACGTTTGTGAAACTCGGTCTGTGGGCGTTTGCGTGTCCACCAGCTCGACGATACACCTCGAGGACGAGGTGAGTTGTGGCGGATTGAATGAGACCCAAAATATCCTCTCGGGGACGTATCACCACGTTTGACGTGTCGACGAAAACAACGTGATCCCCTGGTCGTAGACCAGCCCGTTCTGCTGGACTTCCTGGATCCACTCGCTCTACTCGAGGGGGACGGCCCCACGAGAGAGAAAAACCCCATGGCACCTGAAGTCATTTCAATCTCATTAGGAAAATTGAGACGAGAAATTGAAGGAGAATATCATCTCGATTTTATTCCCACCGATTACACAACCCTCATTTTCATAATTAATCTCAATTATTCCTTCAGGCGATTTAATTGCGTTCGTAGGAATTTTAATTATCGAAATTTATCGCGAATGAACAAAAATTGATTTGCACATTCAATTGATTGATTGGAAATTAATCACATTACAATTTATTAATTACAATTCATTGAATTAATTTCTGTTTAATTGAATTTTCAGAATGCAATACCTGATGTGGACCACTCTGTCGTACAAGTCTTCTCGTGATAGTACAAGGTGTTCTCCCACCCTTAGCTGTGAATCCAGGGTGGAGTGGTAAACCAGTTGTCGGATCTATTGGCTCGAGTTCCAGATGCCTTAGGTAAGTGAGATCATCTGCATTTGTATTGTTGTTGTCTGCATGATCTCCATCTTTTGACAGTGGCGGTGATACCGCACACTCTTGTGGTACACTCGAGTACGGTGTACTTGTATTTCGACCAGAACCCACTTCCAGAGGGTGCCATGTCGCTTCCTGAAGACAATTTATTATAACTATAAATGTCACGGTGAAAACAGTTCTTGGATAAACTCATGAATCTTTATCGTTTTCCTCATTGATTTTTTATGGGAAAACCGAAGGGTAAAAATATCTGGGTTTATTGGAGCGCAAGGACTAGGAAATAGTTCGCATTGAATTGGTGATGGTGCACTAGTTCCCGCCCTTCTTTACGAATTCATGACTTTCTCCCAAGAGTTTTCCTCGTCTGTGGAATAACATCCCCGCAATTCTTCAAAATATCTCGCGAACGGCTATTTCTACTTGAAAATGTGATAAGACTTTTTTCATAGGTGAGAAAATTTCCAACGAAAATGGTCTTATCATTTTTCCACTTTGGCCCACTCAGAACTGACAAAATTACAAATTTTCCCAATCATTTCTGTCACGCGGAAAATTCAATCAATCGCGATAAAAAAAAATTAATTATCACCTTAATCACGCGACTCCATCTTCTTCCCCTCAATACACAGCGAATATCTTTAGCAAAACACCCGCGACGATAAATGCTGCACAGTAAATCGCGACGACAATCATTTTTTCTATTTTTACACTTGATGTGAAAACTTATCCCCGAACTTCTCACTCAATCACTGGTCCACGATATCCACTTTTATCCAATTCCGCGGTGAACGTCAATCCCACGATTGAGGAGAACTCAATCCTCTTTTCTCGGTATTTGGTAAATCCACTTGGACGGGATTAATAATAATATTTAATTGGAGCTAGAACTTTCGTACTGCACACGACGTTGACGTGTGAGCATGTGAGGAGAGAAGGGGCAAAAATCCAGCGCCCGTGGTGACCCGATAATCGACTTAACCCTGACCTCAGACCCGGGGAGGAAGAAGGGAAGAGGGATTCAGAGGATAGGGATGTAATTAGGCATCTGATCCTATGGGATTTATCCCGGGTTGTTTCACAAATGAGATACATCTCGTGAAAGTATAGAAATAAATCGAGGAAACGAACCGACAAATATTCATAATAAATTTCGAAATCCGGGAGTTTAACTTGAAAATTGCGCAATCCACTAATAATCACGTGAACAATCAATAAAAAATCAAAATTAAATAAAATACACTATAAGATCATTCAATACGAATAATTCATTCACTAAAATCTTTTTTTTTTTGAACACAGAATAGAAATTCCAATAGACCAAAAAAAATCAGTTCAATTTTCATTTTCATTTTTACATATTATTTACTTTCGAATAACCAAAAAAAATATTTAAATATTATAATTTCTCACCTTATCCTGTGCCAAGGGGAGGGGTAGAGTCATGCAGCCCAGCAGTTCGCTGCGCCTGAAAGGAAAAAAAAAATCTCTTATTAAATTCTCGTTCTCTCCTCCCCCCAGGGAATTTATCTCCTCGTTTTGTTCACTTCGTTAGTAAATAAATAGATAGAAACCCGTGATAAAAATCCAGTCCCCTAGTCGATTTGTAAAGGACCTCTTCGAGATGTGACCGTAGATTTTTCGTTTTTTGTTCGCACGTGGCTAGATTGCCATGCGCATGTACCAGAAAGCAATCGATTTCCCCTCCGCCTCGGTTCAACCTGGGATGTTAGGACTGTAGAGGAATATTCCCCAGATCCACGCTTCGGGGAGCACACGTGAATCGAATGGCATAAAGGGTTTTCATGTATTTTTATCTCTCTTTTTGAGGGGAAGATCAAAGTGGGCGAATCGATGATCAACACGGCTGGTAGAATCCTTTAGGGTTTTTTATTTTATTTTGGGGGTCAGTCTTTGTTAGGGGTTGAGGCGTCTTTTGACATTTCAGAGGTGAGATTTTATCACGGGATTATTGAATTTTAATCCGGAAAAATATGGTGCTTAATAATTCAAATGAATCAGTAATTCTCGTCAAATCCAAACCTCTCCCACATTTCCGGTTCGTGCAATTCGAAATTCAAATGAACAGAATAGATAAATAAAAATTTCCAACATGCCCGATCTGTATTCACAAAATCCATCAGTTGTTCGTGGATTTTAAAAGAATTCCAATATCTTATTACTCTCGATAAGTCGAAAATCGATGATAGTTTTTTTCGAATTTCCTCCCAATTAATTCGTATAAATTTCTGAGTTAACCAATCGAAGTTAATTGTCCAATTTATTCCAAAAACTTCAATAATAATCTTTACTTTTGCCACGAGTTCTTTATTATGTGCAATGTGATATATCAAATGGACTGGATTTGTCAGTAATCGATTTCACAGTATCTCTCCCCACAAACCGTATTAATTCCCGCACCTAAACTCAACCCTAAATCCATATTTACCTCGCTCTTCGATCCCTGTGCCAAACGGCAATATCGAGTGATGTAGCTCTTGCTGTGCAGTTGTTATTAGTCGGATAAGGTAGAATCAGTGTCTCATGAAAGACTGGACTCGGTGTTGCACGGTGAACAGCTGTGCGTTTAACAACACCTTCGCCACAATGATTTTTTATGCTTGCCTTAACGTATGCATGAATCGGCCCCTCATAAGCTCGTCTCAAGTCTCTGCATCGAATCACTAAAACCAGAATCCATTACCTCAATTAAATCCTCAAACAAAATAAAAAACAAGGCAATTAAATATTTCTTCTTTTTATCGTCATCCAATTATGCTATTTATATCAGTTCTCGTTGCCCGAGTGGGTCTTGAGGACAAGGCTGAGGAAATTCGAAGGGCAATTACGTAATTACAGCAGGGGGTTATGCCTCGTTAACTGGGGAAAAAAAATTTAACTTTTCGTGACTTGAGATATCGGTTATCCACGAGAGTTTAATTTACCAGCACTTAATTGTCTTCACTCGTCACTGAATAAAAAATAGAATAGCGCGGAATGGAAGTGAGAGCAATTGCCGGTGGAATTTATTGCTCGTGGAATATATGTTCGGCCATCTCTACGGAATTTTGGAAATTTTTATTTTTTTTGAGACTGACCGTAGTCCGGGGGACAACGATGGCTGTGGGTTACTGGCACACGGTACCATGGAAGTCGGTGTAAAACCCCTCTTCTGTGATCTCCTTGGTTGGATAAAACGAGGGAGAGACTACGCGATTGCGCGATGATGGTGCGGGGTTGATTTTCACGGTACTGTCACATCGCGATTTTGTGCTGTTGTCATCGAGACTATTTTTTCGTGCTCCCATTTCGGTTGATGGACAGTCACGGAAAGCGGTGGCCGTTATGAGGAATAACGGAGAAATGAGAAATAATTTTTAAGAGGGTAGAGTGGAAGGTTTTGCTTTCTTCATAATAACGATCCATTTCAATTTTCAATTTATTACAAAGAGATTATCAATTCCGGCTCACCTCTGACGTGAATATAATCCCCAATGACATTGTACTCGATTTCGATGGATCCCCTGGAGTGTCCCCTGGGTGTGCCAACGTCGGGACTGTACTTGAGACACCTCCTGACAGTGGCAACGAGTGGTGCCTCAGGTGTTTCAGTTACCGAGTGAAGCAACGAGCTCTTGGAGCTCGGAAAGTCATCCATTAGTGAGGACTTGGGGCTCTCCAGCTCCCAGAGATTCTTTCCAGTATCGTTGCTCTGACTGAGTTCAGTTTTACAGACAGTTCTCTCCCCAAACGTTGAATCCAAGTCCGTCTCCAAAGCAAGTCTCTTGACATGCATATTGACAGCCTGAACAGGCTCCTGAAGCTCCAGGATTCTGCGTTTTGTACCCGGACTGACGCTATCCTGCCTCTTCCTTTTGGAACTCGAAGCCTTGTCGTTGCCCTTTCGCTTTCTTCTGATACCCCGCTGCCTCCGCAGCTTGAATTCACCATCTGAATCATTCGAGGGTGATCTAAACGCCCAGGACATGGGTGATGGATCCTCCAAGAGTTGACTAGCCGATGACACAGAGCTGTCATTATGGGGTTTGTCCTCGTGGTTCATCGTTTCAACCAATTCCGGGCTCTCGGCCCTTCCCAGAACCTTCCGACGCTCTTCAGAGTCCCTCAAAAGGATCTCAGCAACCGTCTTCGGGTTGTTCTCCTGATTCGTCAATACTTCCGTCACTGTATTATCCATGTTCTCGAATTTGTCTTGATCTAGCTTCAAGTGAGCTAGCTTTCCTGCTAGGGGTGTCTCCTTCACGGCGAAGGGACTCTTCCCCTTCGTGTGATAAGGTGTCTTCAATCTAGTGTGAAGTTTCGTGATCTTCGCTAGTTTTGGATGACACGTGCTCTCTGAATTCCTGGAGAACAATCTCGATTTTGTGATAAAGGGAACTTTGTTTGCTTCCATCACGTCTTCAGGACTTCCAGCGACGGATATCTGTTGGAAGAAGTCGGAGACGTGCGATTGGAGATTCGCTCTTGCCTCGTTCATGACGTTTTGAGGGAGCTCGTTGTTATTGAAGGATTTTTGATAGGCGACTGGTAGGATGGCAGGGTCAGTTGGGAGAGTGGAGACGTTTTGGTATTTTGTCAGGCTCTCGGGGTTGAAGGTGAGAGGACCTATATCCGTGTCTACCCGGGGGGTACTTTGGTAGAAGCTCTCGGTCTTCGGTGAGTCCTGCTGGTCTTCTGATATTGACTGACGCTTTGAGCAGCGAAGATTTGGCTTTGTCGCCTGAAATAGAGAGTTCGGGGTTAGGGGCCTCTTCTGGGAGGGGTTCAGGAGATTATTTATTACTCACGTTGAAGTAAGCTCTCAAATCACTCCCATGACTCCTACATCGTCTCCGTCTGACACTAGCTAGGCTACCACTGCTCTCAGTCCCATCGTCCTGCATCCCTGATACTTTTGCCACACCCGTTGGCGGCGTGTTTGACAAATCTCTAAAGGGTCTGCGAGTTGATTTGTCCATTGCTGAAGACGTTCCGTGGGGTGTCGAACTCGTCGTCGACAGCGATCTGGAGACTGTCCACTTCAGCATCTCTGTAATAAATGAAATCTGTGCTCAGTACCAAGTCTTGATTCATAACTGACGACGATCTGGAAAAACTGTGAGAGAAAATGGAGAGAGGATTTGGAGGTGACAGATGTTGGAGATCATCTGGGAGACGACGGAGAGGATCTCGTTAAGACACTCGACGGGAAGAATGACAGAGAATTAAGGGGTATTTAATTATAACTGAAAATTGTATCGAGATGATGGAAAACAGACACTCCCGGGGTAGACCCCCAAACAATGGTGAAGCACCTGTCGCAGCATACGGGAAACAGCAAAACAGGTGAAAGCCGGATAAACAGAAAATACCTCAGACACATGTGTACACCTGAGGCATGTTCCCCTTGAACTTCAAGGTTTTTACGAGCTACCACTGTCTCCACATTTAGGGAATAATAGATCTGTTAAAAGGCACCAGCAAAAGCATGTTGCGGCGCTGAAACATGAAAAATTACGGTGGATATGGAAATGGGGGACAATGAAGTACCTGTTCCCCGGAAAAGACCTGCTGAGAACATTTGCGGCAACAATGAAAACTAAACGAATTTTTTTCAGTGAGTTTTTCAGTTACGCATCTGTCATTTCCATTATTTCCCGAAGAATGAGTTCAATACGTTTCTCTCGTTTTGCAACAGCCCCTCGTAATTATTAATTAGTGCTTGAACAAATTGGGGGAAAACAGAAGTTGCATTTGTCCGCAACCATGAATAATTCACTCCAATCATTCTCTCCCCCCTGACCTTGAATTAAAACGCGAGTAATAATAATAAACTCATGCGCATGATTATGATCTTCAATTTGCCAGTGGCGAGACCCAATTACTCATATTATGAAGCAAGAATTTCTTGAAAAAAATCATTCTCTGCGATCTAAAATTAAACTTTATAAAGAGTAATTATATTTTATTGAATTTTCCATACAATTAAACGTTCTGCAAATAGAGAAAAAAAGTCCGCTGATAAAATCTCGCGGTCAAGTGTTGACGCCTCGTCAAAAATTATACCTTTCGCCCCCAAAAAAATTCTCACAACAATTCAGTTCGTTGCGCGAAAAAAAAAAAAATTGCATTCCCATGCGAAAAAAAAAAACCTGGGGACCTGAAAAGAGAGACCAGCAGGTTTCAACTTTTAACGGTTCCTCTCGAAGGGGGGTGCACACTGCGAACAGCCCCCCATTGTCCCCCGGGAAAATGGAGCGGGGGGTAGATTGCCATACGCTAAAATCCGTTCATTTGCATACGAGCAGCCATTGGCACACGCGCACCTCCAATTTTGCTCCTCCTCTCCCTCCCTCCCTCCGCGCACATTTTTCGAGTGTTGGAGAGGTTATGTCGCACACATGGTGGAGAGCCCTACGTTTATCCTCATTTACACGAGTGCGTGTAGATTACCGATGGTTACGAATGTGTGAGTGGTTGCGACACATGGGTTAAAGGGGTTGGATAAAGGGTTTTTGTTGAGTGGAGGCACCTGCCCATATGGTATAACCTCTACTTTGCGGTACGCCATCTGGTTGAGTGCATCTATGTTGAGGGAAATGAGGAAAGTATCTTGATTCTGAATATCTTCGGGTCCAACGCCTTCAACTTCCGGGGGCGGCAGGGGAGAACGGGGGTTTCTCAGTTTTGGGCCCTGGTGCGCGTGCCGGTTCCACCCGACTCACTTTGGAGTGAATTATCTCGGGAAATTATCGTTTTTCTTATCAATTCTCTAGTTTAATTAGTAGGTTTCTTGTTGATGGATTGAGAAGTAACTTATGATATCTTTAATTGCGGGAAATGGGGGCATTCTTTGGGTAGGGGTCGGGCCCCCCCTTTGCTTCATATTGATATGGAATAGTAACGACGATATCACGTAGACAATTGGTAGCAGGTTGCCTTGGGGGTACGTAGACACTCCTAGATGACTTTCTAGAGGAAAAATTAGCCCCCTCGGGGGGTCTGCTCTCTCTCTTCAAGTGCAAGTTTATGGATATGGATTTATTGTAACTTTAATAGCGACAATTTGCATAATTGCGACGATGAATCGAGGGAACAAACCTCTGGGGGGGCTTGGACATGCCCCCGGGGGTATCACACCGTCGGGAACACCTGTGTGGGATAATTTCAAATGCATTTTGATAGGTTTTTTGTTTTCGGTTTATGAGCGATCGTTATCGCAAGCTTTGTCTAACGGTCTTGTGTCTCCACTTGGGGTACGAGCATTCGACAATCGGGGGTAATTAACATGATTATCAATCATTCGGGAATATCGGTTGAAAATTTTCAACGGAATTATCAAAATAATCAGATCAGAAAGTTATTATTGCTGTGAATTTTTTTTTGCCGATTCAAGTTTATGTTTGATATTCGCGATATCCTATTCCATCGAAAAATCGTTGCCGTAACCCACGAAAAAATCCCCTAAAACCGCGATAATAAAAATGATTTCTCGAGTGTAGCTGATTTAGTTCCCATTGTCATTCGATCCATATATCATATTTTTCCTCACACATTTAAACCCTCACAATAGACCCAAAAACAGGTAAATATGTATAACAGCGACAGGTTTAACCTCGACGTGAATTCACATCAGCGAAACCCTAGAGAGAAATAGTATATATTTTTTTGTCTGAATGGCAGAAGAAGAAGAGGTCGAGTAACGAACAATTATAAATCTAGGGGGCTATAAAAATCCCCGTCTTCATCTCATTCTTTTTTCCTTTCGTTTCACCCCCCTGAACAATGCTTTTATTGTACAGTATTTCTTTTTCACTATTTCTGTCTACCTTTTTCGGGTTTCGGTCCGTCCTTTACCACGGGGAGAATCGCGAAAAAGAAGCCACCGAACATTAAAAGAGGCGAGGAGAATAAAACACACGAGAACGACCGTTATAGCCCTCTCATTCTCCCTTTTTATTATCCCTTTTTTTTTATTCTATCATCTTTATATTCTCGGCTAACCAGTGGTGTCGGCTGAACCCAGGTCAAGGGTATCCACCACAAAATTACAGGGTATAACCCGTAAGAAGATCCCGGAATGCCATTACAGATCATAATCACGAAAATTTCACCTGAAATTATGAGAGACCGGTGAGAAAGCGATGGAAAAAGATAGAGAGAGAAAAATAAGGAATACAAGGGAAAATTCTTGCAGCAGGAAATACGAGGGCAGTTGGTGACAGCTACCCCAGATAATTCATCAACTGTCATTAACTGCACGGCATCGTTTTGGGTCACGGAGCCACTCGGTTCTCACAGCTCTTGTTCTTCGAGGCATTAGTGTCATCCAGAATGTCATAATGAATCGCGAGATGATTATCGAAGGAAATACCGAGAAAGTATAACTCGTATGGCGACAATTGACACCTGTCAAGGGAACAGTCCCAGACCAAAACAGCATTTAGAGACAGCAGATGATGCTGACACTGACATTTATTGAAATTTGAAAGACCAAGGATCATTTCAAGATTTTGGATGACAAGGCGGAACGAAGTGGAAGTGAAAGTGAAACGAGAAGGTATGAAGAGAAGGAAGATTGTTTCTGTCATTGTCATTTACCCTGATGAGGCCTTCGAGCTGGTGATAATGACGTAATAGATAACCCAGAGTCCTCATCCTCTCTGAAAACAAAGACAGATCTCAGGTATAACGTAAATGGAGCGACGGTTGATGTTTCTCCGATGCTCGAGGGGGCAGAGGAAGACACTGCGAATAAAAGAGAGGATAGAATGGAGAAAAGAATAAGTGTACGAGGTATAAAGAGAGATTTTGTGATGAATCTGGTCTCGTTTAGATGGAGAAAAGGTACAAGGAGAGAGAGAAAAGAATGAAGTGGGGGATAGAATCCGCGTTGTGGAATCAGAGGGTTCCTTGGAGGCATAATCGTGGGGTTGGGGAGGGCAGGTGAGCAAAATTCTCACTCTGTCTCACTTCATTCTCCATACCTGATCCCTTTCATTCTTTTTTTTTTTCGGGGGTCTGAGTGTGCCAAACACAACGGGGAGTCCCGAAAAAAAATTTCACCAACACTGGGTTTTGCTTGTTGGGAGGAATAACCCATCGCGAGATGCTTTTATTTCGGCTGCGGATATTCGCGGATTCGAGTTGAGGGGATTTGGCTCATTGTTTTGGATGTTTAGAGGGGGCTGGGATGGTGGGAATGCTGATGAGATTTCGGCTCGGCTGTTAGGAATTGATAATTTCACTTGGAATTGATTTTCGAAACAATTACTATGAGCTAACATCTTAGACTGTTGACAAGCTGTCTGGAAAAACCAGTTCTAGTTCACGATTACCGTTTTCTTTTTCAAGACTTGATTGTTCAGTAGAACAGATTGTCATGATGACATGCAATATTTTCGAAAGCTTTCCGACCACTCTTTCAACAGCAAGTGATTCGGTAAATAATCCCCAGGAATGGTCTCTTCCCTCAAAATCTATATCAATTTTCAAAGGATTTCATGGAACTGAAAGGATTGAAAGGATTCGCTTTTAGACTTCATCTGTTCAATTTCAAACTGATGACAAGCTATCTGAACGAATTAGTTCCAGTTCGCTTGAAGGTTTGCCCGAATGTGAGTTTGTCACTCCAACAGCTGACGAAATTCCGCCGAACATTTCATTCAAACATTAAGATGTAGAAATCCATCGCTCTTTCATCCCCCGGATCGATTCCCAATACTGTCCATCGAGGAATGACCACAAACCCCTCGGCCTAATTGCCTGTGACTAATCCAATCAATCAATCCGAGAATCATTTACCATGCGCACCACGTGCCGTCTACGGCTCCAAAAACATCTAGACTCCTCCCCGGGTCCCAGAATCCTCTCGACAACCCCCACATCCCGGGGCCCAGGGGAAACTGTCGGATTAAGTTCGAAGACGACTTACAGACGTTCGAAGGGCACCACCTGCCTCAATGTCCTGCGCGTTCCCATGAGAAAAAAAAATATGAGAAGTACCGAAATAAAAAGGGCAAGGTTCCCTTTAAAAAAAAAAGTTGAC